CAGCTTTTCAAATGGCTGGAAAAACTCTTTATTGCACCTTTGCTTGTTTGTTTGAAACAGTATCTGATTGTGTTTTGGGGTGAAAGTTTACACAGCCAATTAGGTTCTCATTTCACAACTTCTATGTTAATGTTCAGTGACATTGGTTACATTTCCTACAAGGTGTCAACAACTTCATCTCCCCGTTTCTCATTTTCCTCAGGGATCTATTCTAGTGCTTCCATGTCCAGTAATCTAGTTTCCCTGCCCTCTCCCCCAGCCACTCCCCTCTCATTGCGTCAGTAAATGTTGGCTGATGGGGCTCATAGTGATTCTTTCTTTTTTAAAGAAACATAGTACTCACAGGACACTGCCCTGGTGGCAGAATGGTTGGTTGGGCTTCTAACTGCAAGGTCAGTAGTTTGAGACCAGCAGCTGCTCCACAGGAGATAGATGGGGCTTTCTACTACCATAGTTACAGCCGCACCCTCACAGGGGCCTGCTCTGCCCGGTTGTTAGCACAGACTCAGCGGCAGTGAGTTTGGATTGCCGGAGTTCTCGCAAGTGGTCATCTTTATTTTATGAGCCAATCTGCTGTTTAGGTGGGAAGTGACCTCTGGCAGAGGTTTTCAATCAGTTTAAAGGGTGTCTCAGGATGACAGTCTTGCCCCACCCCCCAAGTTTCATTAAGTCTTGATTTTTTAAAATAATTTGAGTTCTAGTCTACCTTTCCCCACCATGCTATCAGGACCCATCTCACCTGTTTTGGAAGCTAGTCTATCTAGTGATGTAACCCTGATGGACAGATTGTGCTTTCTTGCAATACTTTGACGATGCTGCTTCACCATCCTCTCGCTTGGATGACTTTACATCAGAAGTCTGCTCTAAGTCTGCCTGTTTCTCTGTATGCATGTGTCTTTTATCTACTTTTAAGGTCCTCCCCCCGCCCCCGCTATCATTGATTTTGAGCAACTTGACCGTGTTATGCCTCGGTTTAGTTCTCTTCATGTTTCTTGTGCTTTGGGGATTCTTGAGCTTTTTGGATTTGTGGATTTATTCGCTTTTATCAAGTTTTGGGGAAATTGGCCACTATCTCTTCAAATATTTTTATATTCCCTCTAATCCTTCTCTCTTCTCCTTTTGGAGGTTCCAATTGTCCATCTATTTCGGCCATTCAAAGTTGGCTCACAGCCCACGAATGCTCCTTAAGATTTTTGAAAAATCATTTTCAAGGAACCCCCCGTCCCACATACAAAATAAAAGTGCTGGACACTGAGATGTTACCTGTTGTCTCATTTTGGCTCATTTTATAAATAAGATATTAAGGCTTTGAAAAGGAGAGCACCTTTCCCAGCAACAGTTGGGCTGAGTCAGAATTTAGTTTAACAGGGTGATTTGTCTGTATCCACAGTAGAATCCGCTGAATCAGAATCTAGAATTTCACAAGATCATATTTACACATAAGACTCCATGGTAGGTTCTGATCAGCATAGCTGGGGTGGGAATATAGACTCTTAGCAGGGGTTAAACTGGAATGAGTTGCTTGAAGTTCTGCAGGACACTTTCCACGGCACAGGCAGAATCAGCCACTCACCGCATGGCAGTCTCGGACCCTGTCTCTTCTTTTATTCTGCTTTTTCTTCTGAAACTTCCTTGTGCATTTTCTCTTTACCCCCTATTTTATCGGCACATGATTAACATATCACACAATCTAAGAGTTCAATCAGGTCAAGAAGAGTTGTACACCACCACCACCTCATGTGTTTTCAAGTCTGTCTTTCACAAGACTGTGAGTTCTGTGAGATCAGGGGCAGGGGCGCTATGTGAGTTTCTGCCCTCAACACAATAGGGCATCGTTTATTACTGCTAGTTGGATGGGTGGGTGGATGGATAGATGGATGGGTGGGTGGATAAGACATGAGCTCTATCAAGAAGCAGCTTAGTTTTTAACAATTCCCCCCCAAAATCAGAAACAAACAAAAAAAATCAGAAACCAACAAAAAAAAATCAGAAACCAAAGTCACTGCCTGAATGAATGCTGATCCATACAAACCCGTTAGGGCAGGGTAGAATAGGCCCATGGCAGGGTAGAATAGGCCCATGGGTTTCCAAGACTGTAACTATTTACAGGGTTAGAAAGCTCCCTCTTTCTCCCAAGAGCAGCTGGTGGTGACACCACCAGGGCTCCCTAGCAAGTGCATTAGGCTTGCAATAAAGGAAGGTTAATAAGATATGGCACCTTCTTGTTGGAGGTGAGAACCAAGTCTTTTAGGATCAGAGGAGGGAAACTAAACCAAACCACACCCCCGCCACCAAGTCTCCTCCTCTATCTTTTCTTCCCTGCAGGAGGAGCCCATTCCGTAGAGACAACAGTCACTGTGTGTGATGTACCAGGAATGGCTAGGAGACGTCTCTGAACACATTATGTTCATCTTTGAAAAACCCTTTCTGCTTCTGCTGAACTTACAGCAATTGTTCTGACAATATTTTCAGCTCCTGGAACACTTTCAGGAATTACATCATTCACTCAGAACATGGGAATTAGGGGCACAAGGCAAAGCTGAACTGAACGACAGTGTGCCACCCTCAGGTTGAACTTTTTCTCTTTACCTTCTGTGTTTGCTTACTGAAGTGACAAACACAGTGCATGCAAAGTATGAGTTTTACAAATAAATAAATAGTACAAGCATGGTTCCATCTAATTCTTTTGTACCTATGAATGGAACAAGTGAGCCCATCTAATTGTTTGTCCCTGTGGTGTAGGGGTTATGCCTTGGCTGCTCAAGGAAAGGTTTAAAGTTCGAGACCACTAGATGCACCACAAGAAAAAGGCGGGGCTTTCTACTGCTGTAAGTTACAATCGTGGGAACCCACGGGGCAGTACTACCTCGTCTGATTACAGGGTCGCTGAGTTAGCACCGACTTGATGGCAGTGAGTTTGGTTCTGGTTTTTGATGGATGGGACAAACATTACACTGTTACAAAGATGGACATTACAGGAGTAAGGATGGAAACTTGTGATTTCCACGTTGGGGGGCTGCCCAGTCCCCACCTTGGAGACGACACTGAGGACAAGTGACACTTTAACAACCAGTTTGCCGAACGCAACAAAAAATGAGGTATGGTTCTGTCAAACCAGTATGAACTGGCTGAATCCCACCACTGCCTACCCCAACCTAGGAGCCCTGGTGGCTAAGTGGTTATGCAGTGGGCGGCTAACCTCAAGATCAGCAGTTTAAGACCACCAGCCACTCCAAGGGAGAAAGAGAAGGCTCTCTACCCCGTGAGCTAGTCTCAGAAACTCACAACGGAAGTTCTACCCTATCCTACAGGGTTGCCGAGTCAGAATCGAACCAATGGCAGAGCGGTTTATGTTGACCCCGGCAGGCCTACATGCACACACCCTTCCGTACAGGATGACCAGTGTGGCTTGAGGAGTCACATCTACGGACCTTCACCATCACCTCACACAGTGGGTGGCTTTGAGAGTCCCTTAGAGGTACACCAGCATAAACATTTGTTGGAGACAACTGTCACCTGGGCTTAGGTCTTGAGGGGGTCACATAACTATCGCCCTCCCCATGGGGACATGGGATACTCCCTCCCAGGGTCCATGGAAGACATCAGCCACAAGACAGGTGAACAGGGCTAAGCACTGAGCCCCGGGGAAATCCCAGGCAGCACCCACGGATGCTGTTCCAGTGGATGCAAAACCCTGGCCAGGAGTGGGTTCCAGAGTGTGTGCCCCAGATGTAGGTCTTGAGACTGTGGCTCCGCGCATTGACACCTGGGCTGAGGGTGGACAGAGGAAGGCAGGCGGCTTCCACACACTACCACGAGATCCAGAAACCATTGAGGAGTCACCTCCTAGCACAGGAGAGCAGCCCCACCAGGCAGCACCCAGCCACTCAGCATCCAGTGCACTCAGGCCCCGTCTGCCTCAGGACCAGCGCCCCTAACACCTATCTTTCTGGAAGACCCCTCAAGAAATGAGAAAGGCACCCCAGAAGCAAAACAAAGCCCACAGAGCGAGGAGGGCGATCGTGGGGTCCATCCACAACGCCACGTCCTCTCTTCCGAGTCCCTGGGTACATGTGACAGGACCGATGAGGTGTTTTATACGGGTCCTGGAGACAGTGGGTTGCGCTTGAGCTGACTAGATACTCATCAGGGAGAAAGTTGAGGCTATTAGGATTTACAGCCACAGATTTAACCCTACACAGGGCCACTGAGTCAGAACTGGAGTTGATTCTTAAAAGTTTATCTTGACTAAAAAGCAAACTCATGCCACCACATCAATACTGAGTCACAGCTACCCACCTAGGGTCGCCAAGGTTGCACACGTCTACATCTACATCTACGTTGACAGCAGCAGACAGTGCCCGCCTCGCGTGGAGCAGCTGGTTGGGTTTGAACTGCTGGCCTTGTGCCTCGCAGCCTGGACAGTACCTGACAGCAGCACCAGGGCTCCTCAGGGCCCTTAATGTTGCTGGGTGCCGTCAAGCGGGTCCCGACACAGCGGCCCGGTTTCAACAAAGCCGAGTGGCCTGGTCCAGTGTTTGAGCCCGTGGTCCATCTTGTCTACACCCACTCTCTCTTGCCATTCCTCTGACTCATCCAGCATGATGTCCTTCTCCAGGGACTGGTCTCTCCTGACATGTCCAAAGTTCCACGCGTTGACAGTCACCAGGCTTGCCTCCAAGGGGCACTCTGGTCAGCTCTCCATGCAGGGTCACTGGTCTGCTGCGGCACCGCCATGCACATGCGTCCATTCCTCTGCGGTCTTCTTTGTTCCGTGTCCAACTGTCACATACATACTCCGGGTGCTGCAGTGGTTACGCGTTGCGCTGCTAACAGCAAGGCCAGCAGTTGAGACACCCCAGCCCCAGCGCTCTTCCAAAGACAAGGGTTTACACTTCTATGAAGACTTAAGTCTTGGAAACACACGCAGCAATGAGCTGCGAGCAACCCTTCCCCCGAAGAAACGGTTCAAGTGTAATGGAATGACACACACACCACAGTCCAGTTAGCAAACCAGAGGTTTATACAATCCATAGGAGCAAAGTTACAATACAAATAGGCGTTTAAATACAGTCGGAGTCTGTTACATACAACGTAATGATGAAACATTTCAATTTCCATTACCGAAACTACTTGAAAGGCTCAAGGTCAAAAAAAGATAAAGCAAAATTGCTCAGGTAATAAAGTGCACTGGGGAAGTGGCCGCTGCAAGAGGCACCTCGGGAACTGCCGCCCAGGGGCTCCGCTCCTCAGGGCCAGTGATTCCCAGGGAAAGCGTTTCCCCAACCCTCAGCCTCGCAGCCGGCACACTGAAAGACGGGAGTCATCAACAGAAGGTATTTCCAAATAAAGTCAGGGAATGGAAGCGTGAATCAAAACATCTATTTTCGAGACATTTATTCTGTAGAAGAACATTCCTCAGAGAAGGAAAATCTTTGTGAGACTCGAATACTCCATGACCGGGTATCAGGCAGGACTGACATGATTCTGCACGTCCTAATTGTTTAAAAATGCAAATGAGATGCCGATGGTGGCACACACAGTCAAAACTGTTTATGCTGATTGAAGAGATGGGTGCTGGGGAAAACCACGATATATATATACACTTACTTATGGTTCTCTTGCAACTCACAGGTCTTCTGACAAGCAACAATACTCAACTAGGAAGGTATCCCCAAACCATGAAATCTTGCCAGTACAAGCAGCACTTACGTACACATACGCCAAACGGCAGTTGCTAATTAAGGGCAACATAATGGGTGTCCAGTCCAACGCACAATGTATAAGCAGGTGAGGGATGCCTGATCAAAGATTACGGAGACCTGAACACAAAAAAGCATTTAATCATCCAATATTTCACCTTACCATCGTTTTATAATGGGTAAATGCCAATACATAAAACGTAAAGCCAAAATCTGCAGGCCTACTGCACAGTAGAAACTATGACCAGGCTAACCAAGCAGCGTGTTCCTTGTATTGGTTCCGTTGCCCGTTGTTCTTGCCGGACAAAGGGCCAAGCGCTTGTCTGCCTGGGACACGCACTCACACGGCGTAGAGCGATGTCTGTTCTCCAGGCAGACTGCAAAAGCACTCTCCTCACGTCTACTCTGTTCCCACGGACTGTGCATGATCATCGTTTTCCTCCAAACAAAACACACGCAAGGACAGCTGGGTCGGATCCCTGCTACTTGGCCCGATGAGCGTTTCCAATGGTTTCTAAGACTTCGTCAAGGGCTGACCACACAAGAGCTGGACAGCGGCACATGGACTTCATTCATGTCAGACAAGCTGTGCTTTGGTGCCAAGTTAATTTTCCTTTTACTCTGAAGAAGTTATTCTCCCCACAATACACTCATGGATAAGGCCGCATCAACATAAGTCAACGTACAATTTACAGTCCTGGCTGGGGTGGGTGCCTAATGTGACCTTTTGGGGATTCTGACAAACAGGAACCTGTAACTGGTCTGATTCCCACAGAGCAACAGCCTGCAGAGACTCAAGTCAGTCCCTCCTGCTGGCAGTTCCCTGCTCCCCGGCACCCTGGGCACACCTTTCACATACCACACGTGGGCACAGGTTAAGTATTCCTGGTGAGCCCAAATGTCTGATTCTTGGACTGCAGGCTTAGAAGGGGTGGCCGCTGGGAATTTCTCTAGAAAATGCTGCGAACCCTGCTTCTTCTCCCTTTCTCTCCGAGACCCCTTTTCAACCAGCTCTGATTCTAAAAAGCTCTTGGATCTAAAAGGCCTGATTGGATAGCTGTGATCTCCTCTTGGCTGGATAATGTGTCAGGTTTATTAAAAGTAATGATGATATAAAATTTCATTATTAAACACTGAAAAGCTGGTTGCAAAATCATCTACATAAAAACTGGTGGGTTGAGCACCAGCAATATAAATATTTTTATAGAAAACAGTATAAAAATCAGTACCCTGTCTCATTTCTACAAAACACGAATAGAAAGGCTGCAAAAATCCAGAAGTTGTAAACATTATTGCCGAAATATTTGTTTGAATGCTGGTGATCCGCTTATCAAATTGCCTTTAACGACAAGAACAAAAAATCCTGAAACTACAAAAGATAGCCAACAGGGTCCCAACCGAAAAAGAAAAGCCGACATAATTTCTTTAGAACCAGCTCCCCGCTGCCCACTAACTCTCCAAAAACAATTTCTTTCTGGAGGAGAAATGATCAGTTATCTTTTGTGTCACTTCCATTCCTGAATGAAAGATTTGTGCGTGTCCTGTGGCTCACTCGCTGGCTGGCTGCTCAGCCGAGTCCGGCAAGGCCCCCAGAGGGCTCCCAGGCTCGTCTGTGGCGGCAGCTAGTCTGTTCAGTTTGCCGACCTCTGCCTGCCAGCCAGGGATCTTCTTGGCAGTCATGTGGCGCCGGGCGTGCTTCGTCAGGTGGTCGCTGCGCATGAAACGCCGCTCACACACTGGGCACACAAACTTCTTCTCCCCGGTGTGAGTTCTCCGGTGGCGAGAAAGTTCGTCTGACCGAGCAAACTTCTTATCGCAGCCATCCCAGCTGCAACTGAAGGGCTTCTCCCCTGGGAGGAAGAAACAACACACTTCAGAGAAAGCAAATGCTCGACACTCTGCTGGGTGGGTTTACTTCCTGTTGTCCTTCAACTGTTTCCCCCAAAACTCCGAGCCCGCCGCCGCACTGGGTGTGGGGACTCAAAAGTCAACTCAAGGAGGTCCTTCAAGCGCACTGTTCCCCACCACACCCAAAACGGCAATGTCTTCTTTCCAAAGAGGTTTCTAAAGAAAAAGCAATTTTACTCGTGGCCTGGGGGCAGGTTAAGACTCTTGCAAGAAGTCAGTTCTTCAAGGCTCACAGAACAGACTAAAGATCTATCTCAACTCACATTCAATCTAGTCACCGAACGACCCTTTCACAGGCTCGCCTAAGACCATCAGAAAACACTTATTTCCGATGGTCTTAGGAACCAAGACACGGCTCCTCTATCCGTGTCCAGGCAGTCCGCCCACCTGCAGACACGCCCACCTAGGAGTACCTGACTGTTACCCATGCTACACCACACTTCAAGACAAAATTTCATTGATTTGTCATTAGAAATAAGTATTTCACCATATATAATTACATATTGTTTTGTGATGAATCACTATGCTTTCATGATGTTCAGTTGGTTAACAATGAAAATACATCCTGCCTATCAGATATTTACATGACAATTCTTAACAGTAGCACCATGACAGTGATGAAGTAGCAACGAAAGTACTTTAATGGTTGGGGTCACCACCACCTGAGGATCTGTCTGAAAGGGCCGCGACACGAGGGAGGTGGAGACCCACTGCTCCAGTCCAAGCGTCCGAGCATGAGCAGGAGAGAGTGGGGAGCCAGTCTGCCTGGGACCTCGGGAGCCTGGGGAAGCCCACTAACAGAGCCCCCTGGGCCCACCAGCTAAGGGCCTTCCACAGTTCTGCAGCCTGGAGCTCACGACCATCTAGTGCACTCTGACCCTAATGGACACAGCAGAACTGCCCCCGGGGTTTCCAAGACTGTAACTCTTTATGTATGCAGACCACCTGTCTTTCTCCCAGAGCGGCTTGCCGCTGTTCTGAACCTGCGGGTCGAGACCCGTTTGCGGGGGTCCAACGACCCTTTCACAGGGGTCACCCGATTCTTAACAGTAGCAACATGACAGTGATGAAGTAGCAACGAAAACTTTTATGGTTGAGGGGTCACCACCACCTGAGGAACTGTGTGACGGGGCTGCACCCCGAGGGAGGTGGAGACCCACCAGGCATGTGGGTAGCAGTTCTGATCCCGCAGGGCTGCACCCCGAAGCCCTCATCCTCACCGAGTTTTCAAGGACCCGCAGTGGCTGGTAAGGCCTCGTACAATGACTATTATGCCAAGCTGCCTTTCGGGGCCTTTCCTCGGATCCACCCACTGTGCACGACTCGGCCTCCACACGGCACTTTACTGAGGAAGCGGCTTACAGATGGCCGTGAACGCGTGAATTCAGTGATCAAGAAACCCCAATTCGACATCGGTACTTGCAGAGTTGAGCAGGAAAACTGTCCTCACCAGGTGTTTGGGGCATCTCAGGAACTGGGTCTTGTCGCTTCCTGGAGCGCACACAGTCCACTGTAAGCACACGTTTGCCAAGACCACCACCTCCTGCCTGCCAGATGCCCAGCTTTGGGCCAGACATTTACAAAATGCCAGTGAAGGGCAATGCTTGTCTCTTTCTCTCTCTCTCTCATACACACACACACACACAAACATACACACACACAAGTATTTCTCGTTTACAACATGACATTCACAGCGGCAGCTACTGGGACCCCCAAAGAGCCGGTTTTGATCATCTGTTTTATGGGAGTCTCAACTGACACTGAACCATGCAGTGTCTCCCGGGTGTGAACTCGCCGCTTTTGTACGCGCTATCGAAAGTACACTTTGGACTAAAGCGCAGTTGAAACTCCTGCCAATTCTGTCCTTTCTTCACAGTATCCCACCATTCACTGCTGCCCCACCGGCTCTCACGCACTGCCACTGTCTGTGCCGACGCGTAGCGGGTCTACAGGTCAGGGCACACCTGCCCCTGGGTCTCTGAGGCTGCGACTCCCCTTTCTTCCTGTAACGGACAGGACAGCCGGGTGGAAACCCAGTTCCAGAGAATGGAAAACACACTTCCTGAGGGCGGGGCGGGGAGACTGGGAGGAGGCTCGGCAGCAGGTAACGGCAGACGCTCTCATGCACTATGCTGGGCAGGGCGACCTTCCAGCTCAAGCTTGGATAAGCATGCAGGCTGAACAGGAGTGGGAAGGAGAGGCGTGTACATAACTACGGATGTCCGTGAATCTACCTGTGCTAGGTGATGGGGTACACAGCGGGAAGCCAACGAAACTTTCCCCAACGAATCAAAACATAATCAGACACCTTCAAGGCAAGAGTCTCTGGGCCTGGGGTCAGGACCATAGTTTGGGGGTCACTAAGGTCAATTCTACTTTAGTTAAGTAGCAAATGGGTTATTGAAAGCTCATGAGCCACCTGCCATCAACAGGCAATTGGTCTCTCCCCACCTGGACAAAAGAAGGATGATGAAAAGCAAAGGCATATGGAAACAACCCAGTCGGCCCAAGGACCACGTAAACCTCCACAGCTGACACCCGAAGACCTAGGGGGTGCCCACTGCCGTCTATTAACAACCACCCAAGAGCCATCACATCAGAGCCCTGGACGGAGAGGGAGAAAAACGTGGACCAAACCCTGAAGAGATCAAGCCTGAGAGATCCCCCCATTCCGGCTCTCAGTCACTCTGCAGGTGTGGAACTGAACGCACTGGTGTCGGGATCACCAGAAAGGCAGCGTGTACGCAGTGACAGTCCCGAGGGAGGCGGGAGGGGAGGCAACAGGAAGCACAGGGGCACAAACAGAAAAGGGGACGGTACGTCGAGGGGTGTCCCGGCAATGGGTGAGATGAAACACGATGCCCATGCGTGGTAAAGTGGACGACTGCTGACCCGCTCTGGGAATCTTCACCTTATTCACAATGAAAAGTCAAAACCTGTGCTGCATGCACCGTCTTTAACCTGTTAAAGTGCTCAGCTGTGGAAGAAGTTTCAAAGGCAAATCTTACTAAGGCAACGTAAGCATGAAAGTTACAAACACAAGCCGGACACTGCTGAGAGTCCGTCCATTCTGATTGAGTGACCCTCAGTGCAGGGCTGCACTGCCCTGCCTGGTGGTCTGCAAGGCAGCAGACTGCCACAGCGCGCGTCCGCAGAGCAGACCCTGGGGGCTAACTGCTGCCTTTTTGGTTTGAAGTGGCGTGCTTTACCTACTGTGGCACTTACTTCACCTTAAAAACCCTTGCCCCTGAATCGATGTAGACTCACGGGCCCCAGGAACACAGGAGAGAACGGCTCCCCGGGGCCTGAGGCTGTGCATTCCTAAGGGCCAAAGCCTCATCTTTGTCCCCAACCTCCTGAAGAGGGGCTGCTGAGTCCCACCTATGGACCCTGGCTTAGCAGCCCAATGCTTACCCCACTACAAACAAAGCAAAACAGGAGCCCCACAGAACACACCGGCAATTCTCGGCCCATCTACTAAAGCAGACTCTCTGCAGATCGCAGGGCCACACGCAGCCATGTACACGGCGGAGAAACTAATGGAAATGGAAGTAACGTTCGATATTCTGGAATATCAAGTTCTGGAGACACCAAACCCGCTGCCATCGAGTCCATGCTGGCTCACAGCAACCCTGTGAGACAGAGTAGAACTGCCCTGCAAGTTTCCGCGGCTGTGACTGCTGACAAGAATAAAAAGCCCTGTCTTTCTCCCAAGGAGCTGCAGGTGGTTTCAAACTGCTGACGTTTTGGATCAGGCCCCATACATAGCCACCAGGGCTCCTCAGTCCTCAAGAGTAAACCTAAGTATGTTGCACTGATAAAGATGTTCCACAAATACCAGTGGTTTCTAAAATAGTGGGAACGACAGGCCCACTGCAACGTGAAGAGAAATGGGCATGGCCTGGCGGCACAGTGGTTACGTTTGGCTACTGCCAGCAAGGTGAGCAATTCAAAACCAGCCGCTCCTTGGGAGAGACAGGGCTGTCTACTCTCATCAGCAACTAGTCTCATAAACTCACAGGAAATCCTACCCTGTCCTGGAGCCGCTATGTCTCCACGACAGAGGACGTTTGGAGGTAACTCGATGGACTTGTCTATAAAAAAACCCCTCATTGCTGTCTGTGCTAATGATAACCCCAAGTCCCTAAAAAGATGAAAATGCTTCAGGATCAGTGGGAGGAAGTCAGGGGGGTCTATGGAGGTCACAAGATCCTTCCTAACTGGAATCTCACGACGATGTCCCCCTCCAGTGGAGCAGCCCCGCCTCTCCCGGGGTCCTCACACTTCCTCCGCCAGAGACCTCGCCCAGGGCATGTCCTACCACCCAGCGGGGCCCTGCTTCTCCAGCTCGCTTTTTACCTGTGTGGGTGCGAAGGTGAGCCTTGAGGTGGGAACTTTTGAAGTAGGTTTTCCGGCAGCCAGGGAAGGTGCAGACGTAGTTCCTCCGTCGGGAGAAGTCCAGCTGAGGGACGCAGTTTGGGCCGGACGCGATGAAAACTGGAGCAGGAGCGAGGGGCAGTAACCTGGTGCTCCCGACAGCCATCACGCTGGACGGGCAGGTGGCAGGCGGGGGGAGGGCGCCCTGGGGGAGGACCAGCATCACAGTTCCCTGAGGCACCGACGGTCCCATGAACACAGGCTGGGCCACCGAAGCAGTGTGGGGTAAGATGGGCTGGACAGTCCCTGCAGACACTGTGGGGGGAGACTTCAGAAAAGCTGGCATCACACTGCTCTGTCCAGTCACGGGGAGCATTTGGCAAAGGAAGGGGAGGTTGGGGGCAGGGACAGAAACCAGAGGGCTGGCTTTCTTTGACAAGTCATTTTCACAACTCTTTGGTGAGCAGTTTTGAACTGCAGCAGGCCACCCTGCCTGCTGACCTTGGTCGGAGGTGATCAGGCCACCAGGGTTGTGCCGGCCAGGCTGACAGGCTACCGCGCTGGTGCCAGTGGCGAGGCATGCATCTGGCAGAGGCTCCCGGTGCGCTTCTTCTCTGCTGTGGCAAAATCTCTGATCCTGAGTCTGGGCCCAAGGGCTGTGGGCAGGAGCAGGACTCTCCCCAGTGTGGCGGATCACACTTGCGACCACGGCCCTGCAGGGATGGTTGGGGGCCGGCTCCAGCGTCCCAAGCATGGTGCCAGGCGGTCCACGCTCTGTGACAGCCACAGCAGCACTGGGGGCAGTGGCCGGGACCACACGTGCTTTGGAATGCGCTGCTTGGGAGGGAACAGGTATCCCCGTTGATGGCTCCAGGAGATCGGGGCTCTGTGGAGGAGTCATGCACTAAAAAAACAAATAATAATAATAATAAAAACTATAAATTTCTCTGCTTAAATTTGAAAAGGGACTTGCTTTAAGCATGTTGCCCCCAATGTGTTTAAAAAGAAGTCTCTAAATGAGACTGGTCTACAGTTGCTCCCAGGAGCAGTGGGGGGCTTCACGCAGGCCAGAGGAGAAAGCACCCCCACTGCTCTGCTTACATGCCCATAACGCCAGTGCCCTGCTCTCCTGGACCTGTGCAGCTCTCAGGGGTCTTCAATGAGGTTAGAAAATAAATCCATATGCTTCAAATGGAGTATTTTTTTAATCATTTTATTAGGGGCTCATACGACTCTTATCACAATCCATACATACATCAATTGTGTAAAGCACATTTGTACATTCATTGCCCTCGTCATTCTCAAAACATTTGCTCTCTACTTAAGCCCCT